ACTGCAAGTTGTAATAACCTGATGTACAAATGCAATTCAACGATATTTTTTATTTATTTAAAAGCATAAACATTGGTACAAGGAGGCACATAAATCATTCGATTTGTGTAAGGGTTGTAATGTTGACTGGGTGCCCAAACTGAAGTAGGTGGTTTTCCTAGAGGGCTACACTCAATGCCTTCGACTTGAAGGTCTGATCCACAAAGTAATGGAGCAACGTAAAGAGATGCTGTCCCATGGTAGCAGGTGACCAACCAATCGTTCATATACCATTTATTCGCTCGGGATCCAGGAGCCCATGTCCACCATTGGTTTGGGATCAGGGTTTCCCAACTCCCCTACGTGGATCCTCCATATCTATCAACCCGGTTAAAGCATCGAAAATTCGCTTTTCGTCCTCTCAATTTCGTAAGCAACAGTAATGTCACGAGAGGGCATTGAGTAAAACTTCCCTGGTATCTCGGAGTTGATATTCACTCTTGAACTCGAACACAGGACCATCGATCACGTATGAGAACGCTCAACCTCTAGACCACTGAGCCGACATCCGATAGTGATAATATCTAATTCCAATCGATCATGATTTTGTGCAACCATTCATTTATTGTCTGAAATGTTTTATATCTGACACGGATTGGACTCCACTGGTTGCGGCTTCTCATTAGAACTGTAGGAAATCCATCTTGAAGCTAATCACTTGTGAGCGCATAATGGTTATACAAGATCATGGCCAATTAAAGTTAGACATTAACATCATCAGATGCCAGCTCAGTAGTTTATTCGTTAAGCGTTGGCGTACGAGACCGAAAGTCTCTGATTTTAGTCTTTTTTTGTTTGTTTGCACTTCTGAGGAGCCCTGTGTCTGGACAAAACATCCATTCAATGCTTTCACATTTTCACTGATATTTTACTTTAAATCAACTTATGAATTCAACTAATAAAACATTCCATCAAACATTATCGCTAAATTTTACTTAGAATAAATAATGTGGAATTAGTGAAATACTTTAACAAACCATTACAATTTCTATTTGTATAATGTTTAGAAAATAATCATGATTGACATGATCAAAAGCATCTTAATTGTTAATTAAATAAAATTTGGTAATTTACTATTATATAGTGATCACTTAATACCTCAGTGGAATTGTGCATGTATTTGTGTGTGTGTGTATGTATGTATGTGTATGCGTGTATGTGTTTGTGTGTGTGTGTGTGTTTGTGTGCGTTACAATGAGTATAGTGGTTAATTGTTAACACATCTCTTAATGTCATACATATTCAATATATCTAATTCTATTCTTATTATTACTATGGGAATTCATTGAAAATCTCTATGATTTAGTCTGTCAATCATTGAATATTAAATATCTGTGAAAAATGATAGAATATTATCATAGTGATTATTTTCTGTTGACTTTATCCTCTTTTATTATTTTTATATTAGATATCTTTTGATAATCTCTTTGTAATGTATAAATAGAAGAAGATGTTAACTGTCGATTAAATTATAGCGGATACAAAATTGCCTATAATTCTTTATGGATTATAAATGATTTAATTGATGAGAAGTTAAGTCAATGGAAAGTATAAAAGAGTTTACATTTTTGAATAGTTTAAAGTTTAGAATTGCAATTGATTAGTCGCTTATTGAAATATATATGTGCATCCTATGTGGATTGTCCCAATATTGTCATCAAGTCATAAGGATTTATTTGAAGTGATAGATGATGGTTAACAGTGGAATTCAAGACGCATGTTTCGTCCTATTTAGGACTCGTTGGCTAGATGTACCTGAATCTCAGAGTTGACGTTCACTATGGGATTCGAACTTAGTACTGTTCGCTTTGAACGCCATCGCGTTATCCACTTAGCTATTACTGATTCCTGATAGCCATTTGTTTGTGTAATGGGGTGAAGTTTAAATTTACTTGATCTTGTTTACCTGAATCTTTCCATTGATGTTTGGCACTGCAATTGATCAGTCCTGTGCGAATCGCCTACATATTGTCAATGAGTCACAAGTATTTTAAGCAGAGATGGATGGTGGCTACAAATGGAATCCAGGATACAATAAGTAGATAATAAGATGAAGCTTGAAGCGAATGGTACTGGATCCGATTCGCGGAGTAAATATCAACTCTGGGATGCAGATACATTCAACTGACGAGTCCCAACTGCGACGAAACTCGCGTTCTTGATTTCACTGTTAGCCATCATTTATCTTTGCTCACTTATAGAGATTTGTTGTAAACAGTTTTCAAATAGCTCTTTTAACAAGATTGATATTAACTGATGTACCAATGAAAACTGCAGAACACTGTGCAAGTTATCCAACTCAATGAGTATAAAGATAGATGAATAAGATCTTTGATAAATATGTTAAATGGATGATTCAATACTTTATTTATGATAAAGGTTAAAATAATGCCTACGATTAGTCGATTTCTCCATATACTAAACACATCTTATCGACGTAGGCTTAGTAATAAACCTAAAGAAATACTACTAGAAAAACTTCATTTTTTTTTCGTACCAATGATTTCTCGTCTACTACTATTCGGTAACTAGAGTTTTTTTTAAAGTTAGTTGGCCAAATTTGAAATAGTTATAGATTTATACGAGTGGATTTGGATTAATTGCTCAAACAATAATATATTTTTAGTAGTTGAATTCATGAGTCGACCTAAGCTTGACCATCATTCAAAACCTGGAAGCATTGGACGAACGTTTCGTCCCAATGTAGGACTCCTCAGAAATGTGCATCCGCAATCCCGTACCAAAGGGACTCGAATCCAGGACCTTCGGCCTTACGTGTGAACACTCAACATCTAGAACACTGAGCCGACATCCGATGGTGTTAATGTCCAACTTCAATTGATCCATAGTCTTGAGAATTCATTCATTCAGTGTCTGAAGTGGATAAATGTCTCATATCCGATAGGGATTGAACTTCAGTTGTCACGGCTTCCCACTAGAACTCCAGGATATCCATCTTGAAACCAGTCACTAGTGAGCACAAACCTTCATTCTAATAATAATATACTTAACACCGTATTTCATTCATGATAACAATGACACGAACTGTTGATTGGCTATACAGAAGCATAAATTAACTACGCAGTACTTCTTAAGATTCAATAGTTACTTATTATATATAAGCTAATAACCACATACATGTATTCCGCTGAATTATCTTCAGTTCTTGACTAGTCTTACTGTGAGTCTCTTTAGTTAAATTAGTATTTAATTACATAATCATCGACGTTATAACTGTCACTCTCTGAATAAAATGACACTTCATTAAGTAGATTTTCTACAGAAAGCTACAATTAGAGAGTCATTCAGCTGAATTTTATTACATTTAAGTAACTCTAGATTTGTGTCTATTAGTTCATATCTAAATCAGTGAATAACTCAAATCATGCTGGAACAAAGATGACAGTTCAAGAAAATAAAGTCAAACAGAGAGGGGTTTTACGGATATTACAGTAACTTTAATAATTGAATTAATGAGTCAATAAAACATAGACCACCATGGAAAACCTAGAAGCATTGGGTGGCCGTTTCATCCTGGTATGGAACTCCTCAGGAGTGCGCATCCACGGCCCCATCCACGGAATTCGAAACCAGGATCTATCAGTCTCGCGCGCGAGCGCTTAACCTGTAGACCACTGAGCTGGCCGGCATCCGATGGTGTTAATGTTTAACTTCAACTAATCCACGAAATTGATCCAACATTCACCACTGTCTTCAATAAGTCATTATCTCATAACAGACCAGGTTGAACTCCACTGGTCACTGATTCTCACTAGAACTCCAGAAAATCTCTCATGGAGACCGTCACTAGCGAGCATATGATGATTATAATCACAGAAGGCAGTAGAACTTATTACATGTTTTATATATTTATTAGCCTCAAAATGAGCACTGAGATAACAGTATGTTTGTAATCTTACTGAACTCTGTGACTGAACAATATGTTATTCAGAGAATCATTAACCACCATGACAATCATTGATTCAAACTTCAGTGTTGTTCCTTATGAAGACTTACCGAAGTTTCTTCTTTCTTCTCTATTATGAATTTCTGATAAAGCACAACATATTAGTGTTTGTATTAATGAAACAATTTTGATCTCATTCAATTTTTATGAATCCTCACATTGTTTCAATCACTAAACAATGTCCCCTGAAAAGGTAACTTCAGATAAGTACTGTGGTTTTCATACAATTCGAAACCTATCAGTTATATATTTCAGTTATTGAACAAGGGTTTATGGTGTAACTTAAAAATTTATAAAAAGTGTTTTGTTTCCCGTCTTTTAATCATATTGTGATATGTGCTACTCATGTCAATAGATATAAGTAGTATGTATCGTCAATTGAAAATGAAATATCTAGTAATAGAAGATTAAGAAGATCAAAGAAAAGCGAACGAAAACAGAGAATGATTCATGTGTAAATGAGGGGAACAATCAAATCTGAGACGATTGATTTACATTTTGCAAATGAAGTATTTACTGTATGGTTCTCAAATTTTACTAAGAGATTCTGTAATTTGTCTGTTCAATTACATTCAATTGTACCCATTTGTATGTCCTCCTTCACTACATTCATTATGTAAATACTATTTAAAATTAACGATCTTTAAATAGTTTTATATTCTAAAGAATGTTTTCAAATAACAGAAATGCATTCTATAGTTGAATTCATGAGTCAATTGAAATTAGAACATCATAGAAAACCTGGAAGTACTGGACGGTAGTTTTGTTCTAGTATAAGACTCTTCAGGACGAAATGACCGTTCAATGCTTCCAGGTTTTCCATAGTGTTCTATCCTCAATTGACTTATGAATTCAACTATAAAATTACTAAAATCTTCACAATACCCCCCGCCACCTTCTGATAAAATACATTCTGTTTAAAACAATCTAAAATTTATTTTGTAACCATTAAGAAATATATATATAGATATAGAAATACCAACAGTTGAATAGTTCAAGTACCTTCAATTAAAGAATTACAAATACCAGTAACAGATGAAGATAATGATGATAATGATAATGATGTAGAAAGATGTGAACAATCATTATTGATTGATTGATTGATAGATGGTTTTATTGACCATAATTGTTGTATATCAAATGTTTGATTGGATATTGATTGATTTTTAGATGAATGTATTAATTTCTTTCTCATTTCTAATTGTTCTGAACTAATCAATTTTGTATGTAATGATGTACTATTATCTGATGAAGGAATAAATAATAATGATGATTTTATATTAACATTATTATCATTATGTAATGAGTTTGTTGTAATTGGTAATGTATTTAAAATCCTAGAACTTTGAAGATGTTGTTTATAATGATGATGATGGTGATGGTGATGTTGATGTTGATGATGAAGATGATGAAAATGATCATTATCGACATTTAAACTTGTTGTTGTCAACTGATTTGTCTCTGTTGTTGTTGTTGCTAATGCCGGTGGTGGTGGTGGTGGTGGATTTTGAAAAAATGATAAATTCTTTTCATGATTATTTAATGATATTCCAATTGTTATTGGTTTTGTTGTTGTTAATGTAGTTATAGTTGATGTCATTGTTGTAACCGTTGATGATGATTTATGAATAAGATCTATATTAGATAAAATATATCTTACTGTTGGATGATATGCCCAAAATGGACTTTGTTCTATTAAACGTTGAACTGCTATAAAATTTTCAGCTTCTGTCATTAATTCAAGACCAACAGCTGTTTGACGTTTCCATTTTGTTCTAAATTATAATATTATTGTGATAGTATAAAGGTAAAAGAAAACAGGTTGAAATTCTGTATATTAGAATAGGAAAGTAAATACAGTTTGAATATGACCAACTTCAAGTCAAGAACATTCATGTTACTGACGTTGTGATTTGACTTTTTGTTTATAACTAAGATAAAGATTTGATTTTATCGAAAATAAACCTTCATTGTAATATATAAATGACATAATCAATAAGACTGTGACATATCTAGAAAATGTAGTATGAGAAACATTTAATACTACATCAATGAATGTGCCTAAACTTCCTTATCCTATTGGATATCACCTTCTATATATGCCATAGAATAGACAAAGTCTATGGATCTAGAATATGCTTATAATGCCTTCCTCTACTTCAGTGATTTCATCTATTACAATAGGACTTCCCTGGCAGTAGCTGTATACGCGTGGCCATGTGAGAGCATTTCGAGAGGGGAAACAGACTCATCACTCTCAGCTGTATCAGGGCATTTGAAGGCTCCCTATGAGTTGTAATGAATACACCGATATCGAACGTACAACTACCGCAAGTATGCATTACATGTATATTCAGAATGCAAAGACAGAAACCCATACCTTCCATAGTATACACATATGAATAGATGCGATCACCCCAGGTCAAGAATGATTGCATACAAAACGTAGTGGAGTAGCTCTATATAAAATTTCTAAACTGCGTTATCAAGTCCTACAGTGAACATCAACTCTGAAATACAGGTACATCCAGCTGAAGATCCCCAACCAGGACGAAACACACGTCCTGAATTCCATTACTAGCCACTATCCATATTAGGTTACAATCTATTTTTTTCAGTCTGCCAAGCTTGAAGACTGTCTACGCAAGATACTCAACATCCATTGGCCGGATACCATCCGCAACAGCCTTCTGCAGGAGAGAACAAACCAGCTTCCAGCTGAAAAGGAAATTAGGAAAAAACGATGGAAATGGATAGGACATACATTACGCAAATCATCAAACTGCATCACGAGGCAAGCTCTAACTTGGTATTCTGAAGGGAAGCAGAAAAGAGGAAGTCCATAAAACAAATTACGTCGGGAAATAAAAGCAGATATGAAAAGGATGAATAAGAACCGAAAAGAGCTAGAAAGCGCTGCCCAGGAGAGGGTCGGATGGAGAGTGCTGGTGAGCGGCCTATTCTCCTCCACGAGGGATAACAGGCGTGAGTGATGTGAATAGAAAAACAAGAAGTCTTGACAAACCACGAAAGCTATTTTTCAGGACGTTATTTCATTTAATTCAAAGCTTGTACAACAGTAACATTTATTTTTGTCACTAGTCTATTCTACAGGTCATAAGCTTTCGTTCGATGTATGATTCACTGCCATAACCTATTTGTTCCAAAGCTATTGTAATGTAAACATAATAATTTGTACTCTATTTTCTACTCTAATTCCCAGCTTTGGACATAATTGTATTTTACTAATTATTGTACGTTGTGTACGGCTTAGTCATCTATTTATTCATGTATCTTTTACACTAGTCTGAAATCGGGAACCAGATCGGAATTAGGAATAAATCGAGTAGTGTTTCAGTTGACTTGTCTTCTCTCAATCGCGTGCTTGTCAGTCAATCAGGTGATAGAATAGTTTTCGTCACTCTACCCCACATGGAACTCACGCGTACTAGCCTCAGGGTTAAGCTGGTCAGCCTATCGCGTCAAGATCGTAATCTAGATTAGATACAATATCCTCCGCACAAAAGTGGGTAGACAGATCAAAGACGTAACAGTAAGTAGGTAAGCTTGTTCACCACTATCTGGTTAATTATTCAGTATCTCTTTAAGATACATTTTCTTTGACAATAACTGGCACAAACTACTTGACAAAAACTATAGAAACAGGCTCAAAACTGAAACTTATTGTTTAAAGGACGCTAACTAGTTTTATAAATTCACAATTTACACATCTGTGAATATTCTTTTCCGAATCTTTAATGATTCATGGACTATTTACTTTACTTATAGGTTTATGATTATATGAACTTGTTCATAAAGGGAAAAATATAAATAATAATAGTATTAATAGTAATAATAGTAATAAGGTTTATTAACAGTTGTCTACGCAAAATACTTCAAATCTGTTGGCCAAACACTATTAGCAACGACCTACTGTGGGAGAGAACAAACCAAATCCCAGAGGAGGAAGAAATGAGGAAGAAGCACTGAAAGTGGATAGGACACACATTAACGAAAGCACTCAACTGTGTCACAAAGCAAGCTCTCACATGGAATCCTCAAAGCCAAACGAGAATGGGGAGACCAAAGAACACATTATGCTGGGAAATGGATATAGATATGAGAAAAATGAACAAGAATTGGATGGAACTAGAAAAGAAGGCACAGGACAGAGTGAGAGGGTTGGAGAATGCTAGTCGGCGGTCTATACTCCATTAAGAGTAAGTAAGTAGGTAATTAAGTAATAGTAATAATAATAGTAATAATAATAATAATAATAATAATAATAATAATAATAATCTGTATTTACCTTCTATTCTGATACCATGTTTTAACTTGTCTATCTGATAAACTTAATTTACTTGCTAATTCCATTCGATCTTGTACAGCTAAATATTTTTGACGATCAAAACTTTGTTCTAATTCAGTTAATTGATAATCAGTAAAGGCTGTTCTTGCTTTTCTTGATTTTTTCATGAATTTTTTATTTATATTATCATGATAAAATAAAATTTCATTTTCATTAGTTTTATTAAATTTTGTTATGAATGCTGATGAAGATGTTGATGATGAGGATGAAGATAAGGATGAGGATGATGTTGTTGTTGTTGTTGTTGTTGTTAAATACATTGAATTGGAATGATTAGCCTTTTCATTTTCACTATTCAATCGATGTGTATTCATTAAATCTTATATGAATAATCCAAAAAAAAAAAAAAGAAAAGAAAAGAAAAAGAAATGGGAGAAATGTCATGAGTCATCTTGAAAAACTTGAAAGCAATGAACTACCGTTTCGTCCTATTGTGCGACTTTTTAACAATGCGTAGCTACGAGCTCGCCTCGTGAGATTCGAACTCAGGAACTTTCAACGATTAACACCATTGGATGCCGGCTTATTAGTTCAACTGCAACCAATCCACGAAATTGCACCACCGTCCACCATTATCTTCAGTCAGTTATTATCTCACAACAGAGCGGGTTGAACTACGCTGGTCATGGCATTTCATTGGACGTTTTGTGAATATTATAGTAATTTTAATAGTTGAATTCATGAGTCAATTGAAGCTAGACCATTATGGTATACCTGGAAACATTAGATGGCCGTTTTGACTTAGTATGTGAATTCTCGGCAATGCACATCTACGACCACGCCCTCCCCCCTGTGATTCGAACTCAGGACCTAGCGATCTCGTGTGAGAACACCTAATCTTTAGATCACTGATTTGGCATATTTAACTTAAACCAAACCACGAAAACATATTTATTGAAATGTCAAATAAAATTTTTCAATGTGTTACATGAGTTATTAAGTTGAAATTCATAGAAAATACCAAGTTCATTCAGAATTTAGTTGCGTATATTGAAATCGTGTCCAGAGTTTATTTTATGAAGTTTCAAAACAGACTATGTAGTTTATTATACTATCTGGAGTTACACACTTAATTACGCATGTTAGCGCTCGTGGAGGAACACAAACTACCTATTAGCACTCTTCGTTGGACTCTATAGATCTTCTAGGGTTAATGCCGGTCCATAGTCCGGGTAAAGGATGAAGGTTGGGAATAGGGTCAACAACCTTATCCCGTAGATAACAAGCTTGCTTGAAAAAATGCTATGGTGACTTGGCAGATTAAAATATTAGTTTCTAATGATATTTTTATATTCTGATTTGTTTCCTTTTTAATATTTAAACTTGTGTTAATTTTAAACAGAGATAATGGTGGTTAGCAGTTGAATCCAGGATTCACGTTTCGTCTTATTTTGAACTCGTCCACTGGATGTACCGGCTTATATTGTTTGTGACTAAAGACCGTATCGAGGCAATCTGTACAGGATCAACATATGCCTATAAGAAACTGATCAATTGCAGTCTTAAACATTAATGGAAAGATTCAAAAAACCTATAATAAAAATGAATTGTGTTAATTTTGTTTCGGTTATTGATTCACTCTAAGGAAATAACTAACATTAAGTCACAAAATATCAGAAATACATTTTTCTAATCCGGATCACGAACCGATCGATGTTAGACTACCATTGAAAACCTGGAAGCACTAAACAACCGTGATCAATGTTTTAACATCGATTATTTCAAGATCATAATTAAAAACTCAACAATCACCACAACCCTATACTGTTAGTATTGAGTATTCTAGGAATACTTTAAGATAGTGAAATACTTCAACTAACCAGTAAACACCAATTAAAGTTTAACTTAAAGACTAATTACTTTGATTAACAATTACGTTAACTATTTATCAATAAGCATTTGATCATCACTATAATATAAGGTAATCGATAATGTTGATCATCTTCTAATGTACATCCATTATATGGAAGTTTTTCAATCGTTCACACTGTAAATCTATCTTCATCTATCATGGTTATGTATCATTTATGGTATGAATAATTAATAGCGCTTTAAAAATGATTTGAACTTGATGATTACCTTTGAATATCTTGATTTATCATGAGAAAATGAATATCTATCTATCTATCTATCAGAATAGGGATTTATGAAGATTGTAGTATTTCAAAAGTTCAGTTCATGAGCCGATCTATACTAGATCAATATGGAAAAACTGGAAGTATTAGACACCAGTTTCGTCATAGTATAAGACTCCTCAATAGTACACATACACCATTCCACATATGGGATTCCGATTCAGGATCTTCCATCTTATCAGTGAACACTTCACCGGTAGACACTGAGTTGGCATCCAACAGTGTTAATGTCTAACTTCAATCGATCCATGATTCTGTGCAACATTTCATCCATTGGGTGAGGTGCACAACTATCTCATACTCGACACGGATTAAACTTGATTGTTCACAGCTTCTCACTAGAAGTACAAGAAATCCATCTCGAAGCTAATCACTAATGATCATATGATGATTATTATCATAATGGAAGTTTATGTAGATTGTAATGTTATCTTATATTAGAACAAGGCAAACAGAATTTCAGTTAAACTATCCCAATGATAGAAATTCAAAAGAAAAAGAACAACCTGTCAACCATATTACACATCATAAGTATCCAGGTATTACCAGATAGATTAAAATTAACCTTAAAATCAATCTCTTCAATTGATAGATAATTCCCATTTAAACATTAATAACACGAAGTTCAATGGACGGATCTCTTTTCAACCAATTTATTATCAAGCTGTACAATCATATATATGTAAGAAAATGTCTATCCAGATCGCTTCATAGATAAGAATATGAAAAAATGTAGTTGTGACAAGGAATCTGGTTGTTCCGTTCCAAAGAAAAAGGATTATATACGTTTGAAATTTAAAGGTAATGGATGATCTGACTTAAAACTGAGAATAATGTTCACTAGTGGGAACTTGTTTTCTGTATCCATAAAAGATAAGCTTCCCCTTCTGGTCGCCTCCATGCGCGTCTACCAGTTCACCTGCTCTTGTGGAGCAAGATACATTGGCCGTAGCCAGCGCTCGCTTTCAAATCAGATGTGGTTCTACAAGGGTGAAAGGAAAGCAGTTAGGAGTTCTATACTTACACATCTAATTGACTGTCATCATTCTACTAATCCACAGTTTAATTTTAAGGTTGTATACAAAATTCCTTCAAATCTACCTAGATTTCTTCGTATTCAACTCCTAAAACTAACAAAAACTCTCAATATCCATAAGCTCAAGCCAGAATTATGAGTATAAAAGAAGTACATTCTATTGTTATTGTTATTATTCGTTTTACATAATCTAGTATTCTAATCTTTCTATTACAATATCTTGATTATTTTTTGTTAACCTTTTCTTCATAAATCTACTACTTTAACAATAACAAGAAACATTCTCATATACATACGATTGTACAGCTTGATAATAGATTGATTGAAAAAGAGTTCCCTTAGCTAAACTTTATATTTCTTAATGTTTCAAATCAATTTCATTGGATAAACTGTTATATGATTAAATCAAATACAAATTCCCTATAAATCATAGAGTATTTCAATTGTGAATAATTCCATTGCTAAGATGATCAAATCATTAGTTGTTTTCTTTTTTTTTTTTTTTTTCTTCTTTCATTCTCATTTTAAAACAGTTTGTTAAATTTTAATACATTATCATTATGTATATTAAATTAAGTCACTATTCAATAATTCACACTAGATTTTTCTGGCTTCCTCACTGTACACACACTGACACACACACACACACACTACACATACACATAAGCTGGAATACAACGACGACGACAACAACAACAACAACGACCATAAAGTGTACAAATACTACCTACATGGAGAGTCATCATCAATTCATGAATAATTAAAGTAACACAGAGTCAACAAAACACTAACAATCGACATTCTAACAGCAACAGCAACAACAACAACAAAAGAGAGAAAAAAATAACAACACAGAGACAGTGAAATGGTTTGACATGTGGGATAGAATGTGATGAGATGGGATGGGATGGGGTAATCTACAGCATTCTACCTACCAATTGTAATAGAATGTTCTTTTATTTAAAACAAACAAACAAACAAACGAACAAACATGATAAGTAAGATTTATCTATTTTGTTATTCATCAGTAGTATAAATGAAAGTATTGAGAAAACATTAATTATTGAATTGATTGAAAAACTAATTTTAATGAATCTATCACATGTTATGAATATATTTATCTATGTGATAACATTCATGAAATTCTAAAATAGTTAAATTGTTTATGCATTAGATTTTAGATTATTATTCCATTAGAACTTAACCTCTCTGTTTGAGAATGTGTCGTAACAAGGTTTTGGGTTCGAATTCCTCGTGTGAGATCGTGAGTGCGTACTATTGAAGAGTCTCATACTATGGACGAAATGTCTGTCCAATGCTTCTAGGTTTTCAATGATGATCTTAGATTAATCAGTTTATGATGTTAATCAAAAGCTTAACGATCTCTAAAACCCCATACTGATAAAATATAAATTCATATCATTAAATAGAGAAATGGTCAACTTTGGCAAATGTAACACATCAGTTATTAACATTAAAGTCATGATTTAATATATCAAACTCTTTGTTTATTGAACTCTGTCAAAAACAGATGGAATATGGAAGAAAGTCTTTTTTAAAAGTTAATTATTGTAAACAGTAAACAAAAGGTGTGTAGACCATTACAAGTGATATTAATTTTCTAAATACTACAAGAAGATTTGACATTTTCCGTTTTGTATTTCTATAGGTGTTATATACAGTTTAAGAATGGACTGAATAAGTTTTAACATGTAAATGATTTTTAGAGGCCTGTTGTGTTCGCTTGTGGTGGCGGGCTCATCATTTTAGTGGCCCGTGATCTGACTCCAATTTGACCGTAATGATTGGTTGCTATCGTCTATCCTCGTATATAATCACTGACTTAAATCGCGTTAGTTAATAACGGAATTAAATAAGTCAAATAATGAGAATGGAGTTTTGAATGCATATATTTTGTATAATTGTTGATTAGACGAACAAACGGAGGAACGATGCGAAGATGAGAAAGCGAAGCAAAATTGACGAGCGGTGGAGATGGCTGGTAAGCCAACTCCCCGCTTAACAAAGAGTTAATCAATATCTATAAGCCCACAAAAATAAATTACAGACATGTGATGAGGAACGGGATAAGAAGTGTGCATACGCCTACGCGCTCATATAAAGCAGTCAAGATATTGATAAGCGAATAATTAACAAGGTCAGAATGTGACTCAAATAGAATGAATAGAATGGGCTGTCCGGAAGTTAAAATAATAAGGTATTTGAGCTTAACATAATGACAGACACTACAGATTTATCAGCCATTAGTTTCAAAGAATATACAGTTGTTTTTATAGTAAATGAACGTACTATAAATATCGATTGTGGATGTATACTTCTGAAGAATCCTATACTAGGATGAAATGGCCATCCAGTGCTTCCAAGTTTTTAATGGTGATCTAACTCATGAATTTAACTAATGAGTACTTTATGTGTATAATAAAGTTAAGCTTATTTAAAAGCCAAAAATGAGATATTAAGTAGACTAATGTGTTCATATGATGTGTGAATAACTTGGGCTTATTTCTTTAATCGCCATGGTAAACAACAAATCACAATAGGTATAACCCATTATTCTGTTATGTTGTACACACACTGTTTGGTAACTAATTGTTGATAAGTCGTTCGGAAATTAAATGACAACTGATATTAGTATGTAGTGCAATAACCATCCCATATTACAAGAAAATACAAGTCACTAGACTTTGTTCATGTAAATCAGCAAATATGTAATTTCAGTAGTTGAGATCATGAGTCAATTGAAGCTAGACCACCATGGAAAACTTGGAAGCATTGGACGGTCGTTTCGTTCTATTGTGGGACTCCTCTGCAGTGTGCATCCACCATCCCAGGACCTAACAGCCTCGCGAGCGAGCGCCCAACCTCTACACCACTGAGCCGGCATCCAACAGTGTTAATGTCTAACTTCAACCAATCCACTAATTTGCATCACCGTCTACCATTGTCTTCAGTTAGTTATTATTTCATTACAGACCCGGTTGAACTCCACTAGTTGCTGCTCCTCACTAGAACTCCAGGAAATACCTCTTGGAGACCGTCAGTAATAAGCATATATTGATTAATATCAGAAGGGGTTAATCATAAAATATATGAAGATCAATCCAGCTTCAGTATCTTATTAAAATAAAATGATTCTGAAATGATCGACAAGATCTAATATGCTGTTTGTATATCATTTTGTAATCCCTATTATGTATAATTCCTTGACAATTTGTTTTGAGTGAATGGTATACAATTGAAGTCCCCTTTATCTCTTAACAACTGTGGAAACTATCTGCTATGATATAATAGATATTGATTTTTTTAAATAGACGTTATGAAAATGGACTAATTACCCGTCATCAAATAAAGTGTCATTTTGGATATGTTCAGAATATAATAATGGATCATCTAATGGAAATATTCTCGAAAAGAAAACCAACCTTCAAAAACTTGGATAATATAGATTGTTAGTTAACTTTTGTCTTAAGAAAGAATCTCCTTGCATTAAACTAGATAGTTACTTCATGTTGATTGAATAGTGAAAATATCGATTAGAATTAATGTCTTGTGAATAATGTCTATAAATTGATATCTATTGTCATTAATTCCTTAAATGACACTAATCAATTAAATTTCATTGCCATCAGACGAATCAAAACCCGGATACAAAAGTTATACGTCGGAAAATGTTTACTAATCTCTTAGCCAACATTACTACATGTATTCATGAATGACAACAAAAACTCTTAACTTCTTCGTGAATACAAATGAAATATACTTCATAAGATAAAATGTATATGGAGAATTCTTCGACTTGCTCTGATTCTTCAACTATGAAGATAGATGAATAATGTATTGATTGGTATTGTTATAGGTTACCGACCTCCTGTAGGACTGAGATGTAATCACAATTGATTGATCACTGGGTGGTGACCAATGTCATGCGTGTCTAGTCCTTATTATTAGTGCAGATCGAATGCTATCGACCATGTCGATGTGGCCACCAGTCTAGATGACTCGACACTGCCGGCACTATTGTGAGATTAGATGGTGGTTGGAGGTAGTCGACAGTAAATATATATATCCTATCAACCAAGCTGTGATGCGGCTATTGGTCTATACAACTTAACATTGAGTTCACTATGTTTTCAAGACAAATAAGCAGAAGAAGAATCAGTTTCATCATGATTTGAGTGAGTGTTAACTATTTAGAAATTTATGTTCAGGACTTGCATCAATTGCCTCTAACCACTGAACATCAAATTGATAAGATCTTACTAATCAAACTAGATCCCGGTTTAAGTATTTTCATAAACAATTCGAAATGTTTAATCGCCTCAAATTTTCAAATCGATGGATGCACACTGCTGGGGAGTTCCATACAAGAATGAAATAGCCATTCAATGCTTTCAGGCTTTCGATGGTGGTCTAGCTTAGACTGACTAGTGAACTGAACCTTGAATATACTACATTATACATAAACCCCCATTATGATAATAATCATCATATGATCATTAGCGATTAGCTTCGAGATGGATTTCTTGTACTTCTAGTGAGAAAGTGTGAACAATCAAGTTTAATCCGTGTCGAGTATGAGATAGTTGTACACCTCAACCAATGGATGAAATGTTGCACAGAATCATGGATCGATTGAAGTTAGACATTAATACTATTGGATGCCGACTCAGTGTCTACCGGTGAAGTGTTTACTGTTAAGATGGAAGATGCTGAATTGGAATCCCATATGTGGAATGGTGTATGTGTACTATTGAGGAGTCTTATACTATGACGAAACTGATGTCTAATACTTCCAGTTTTTCCATATTGATCTAGTATAGATCGGCTCGTAAATTGAACTGATAAAAATGTTGCTTATTTTTCAAATACTATCAGTTGGATGATGTTCATTCAAACATCATTATTAAAATTTAGTATCAAAATGCAATCCAATTCATTTACTTACATCTTAACATAAAAACAGACAATGACAGAAGTGGTCGAAGTTTTGTTATTCTCAAAATATGATGATCGGTTGCAAAAGTTGTTTTTGAAATATGTTTTTAACACATTATGACTATCATATGTATCTTGGAAATCAAAACAACTGTCAACCAACACTTAAGTCAGAATTTTCAATACAAATATCAAGATAGTTCTACCGTATGGAGTAGAAACTTGAAGAACTATGAAAGCCATCATCCAGAACATACAAATGATTAATAACGATTGTCTACACAAAATACTTCGGATCTGTTGGCCAGACATTATCATCAACAACCTACTGTGGGAGAGAACAAACCAGATTTCAGTGGAGGAAGAAATCAAGAAAAAGCTCTTGAAGTGGATGGGATACACATTGACGAAAGCGCCCAACTGCATCACAAAGCAAGCCCTCACTTGGAATCCTCAAAGCCAAAAGAGAAGAGGAAGACCGAAGAACACATTACGCCGAGAAATGGAGATAGATATGAGAAAAATGAACAAGAATTGGATGGAACTAGAAAGAAAGATCGAGGACAGAGTGAGAGGGTTGCAGAATGCTGGTCGGCAACCTATGCTCCACTGTGAATAACAAGCGTAAGTAAGTAACCATATACATCCGTACATATACATAATCAATAAACCTAGATAATAATTTTTTAGAAATGCTAAAAATGTATTCCAAAATATGCCAAAAAGAACCTTATTTTTTAAGATTACATCTAGATTCTATTCATAGGATAGATGTTATGAAGAATTACCAGTAGAGTTAAGATGTTAGTTAAACGAGTTTCAACTTATATCAAGAAATCCTCATTAAATTAGTCAAATGTGATCGTTACCTTATTAAAGTTAACTCTTATTGAATTAAGAAAGTTTCATGTATTTTTGGAAGCAAGTACACGTAAAAAATTAATAGAATTACCTTATACAACGCTTCCTAAGAACATATGAGACTTAGAATAATTCTTAACACATGAATTTAATCACTTCGTAAAAAATGAACTTTAGAAAAGGATTGGTCAATTGCGTTACTTACTCCTAAGACCATCAAATAATTAACGCAGTTGTTAGGATACGGGTACTAGGTAAGGATGGCTGGGACACGTTTTACGTTTGCCCGAGCACCAACTACCCTGACGTGCGATGTTAAATGATATAGGAGTAGGTTGGTAGAAAGTTAGGGGCTACCAGTATAAAACATGGCTCAAATCCATGAAGTCACTGAAAAGTGGTCTGGGCCATGTTGGTAGGTGTAGACTACCTGGTTGGAACCACGAGACGATAGCAACCGATGATTGGAGACCTTGAATGGCATGGCTCAGAATCGTTTGCGATGGCCCAGGTGCATCCACTTGTTGTGTTCTCCCGAATTCTAATCTTCTGAATTCCTCATGTACCTTTCTTTTTTTTCTCTTTCCAAATTTATTTCACTGGATTATACTCCTTGAATAGCAACTTCAAACCCTAATCTTTCCGATTACTGATTATACTCTTACTACCTCTAACACAATCGGATTTGAATCGACAACTGCATCTCTGTGCTAATGTGGCATGGCACTTCGAACTGATGTAAATACGTACGAAGTTCTACGTTATTATTAAGTGACTGAAAGGTCATATTGTAACGAACAAGAAGTCAGGTAGGGACAATCTAAGTATTTTAATACAAAACTACAGAATTTCTTGATAAAATATAATAAACATTCATTGAATACTTCATTTGAAAATTCTGTCACTTATCCTTCATATTCTGTTTGATTCTTCCAAATCACAATTCCTTTCTATTTCCCCTTCTTTCAACTCGATCTTCTTAGCGTTTTACTGCCATACATTCATCTTTCGATTGACATTCCATAATACTTATATCGACAAACATAAGTGATATACACCAGGAAAGTAAATATTCAACAAAAGAGTATATCGATTGAGATCATGAATCGATTGATGTTAGATCACCATGGAAAACGTGCAAGCTCTGGACGGCCGTTTCATCCTTTTGTGGGACTCTCTAGAAGTGGGCATCCACGATCCCGCCCGCAGGACTCGAACCCATGGCCTTCAGTCTTTCACACGAACACTTAATCTCTAGACCACTGAGCCAGCTGGCATCTGTCGGTGTTAATGTCTAATTTCAACCATTCCACAAAATTGTGTGACCATATTTCATTGTATTGAGGTAGATACCTGTTCGAATCACTCAAGTGGGATTATGGATGTGCAATTCTGAAGAGTCCCACAATAGGACGAGACGACCGTCCAGTGATTCCACGTTTTCTATAGTAGTCTAACATTAATCAGTTCATGATCTCAATCAAAAACTTAATAATCTCCACAACTTTATACTGAAAAGCGTATATCATCTTACAATTATTAAACACAATTTTCATACTCATTTAATAATTCCATTAACTAAGATCACTTTTAAATATCATTGAACTAACCTTCTTTATCCAATGGAATTGTATGTTTTACACTAAATAAATAATTATCCCAATTCCTTGTGTATACATTAAATAAACTGGAATGATGAGATTTATACTGTTGATTAATTAAATTTATCTTATTACTATACAATTTAGAGAAGTTGTCAATATCCTCTATATTATGACTGATAGCATCATCATCATCATCATCACCATCATCATCATCATCATCACCATCATCGCCATCATCATCAACGTGATCATCTAATAAAACTTTCTTTTTAGTTGGAAAATTGAAAATATCTTCATGTTGCCAATGTTTCAATGTTATATCAGTTTCTCTTAATAAATCATGTACCATAAATGATGGTCGTTTACGTGACATTCGATTAGTTATTAATGTGTTGTTTTATAATAAATAACAATGAAGATCATTCTTTAATTAAAATATTTTATTATAAAAATAATTTCATTTATTTGAATGAATATTTTAAAAAAAAAAACATTTTTGCTCTCTTTCGCTCCCTCTCCCACTCACTCACTCACTCACTTACTCTCTCTCTCTCTCTCGCTTCATCTTCATTCTGATTGGTGAATTTAATAAATTACCAATTTACAAATTCATTGTTTTAATTGGTTGATTTTAAATGTTGCGCAAAAATGGCTTAGTTAAGTGGAAAAAGGGGTGACAAGCTACTACATTTTTTTTTCTAGTATAGTTAACAATATGATTTTCGCGTATATTCCAATAAACAAACATACAAAACGACAATTACCCTAGAGAATACAGTTCATAAATCAAAATGTCCCTAAATGTCGCACCCAAGTCGAAATCGTTGGTGATTGATCAATTATTCATTAACCGATTGTGAATTACAAAAAAAATATAACAAAATATTATTTTATTTAATGATTATAAAATACAAACTTGAGTAACCTTAGTAACCACTATCCATCTTCTTCTTTATATTCATTTAGACTGATTCATCTTTACATTTAATCTACTAAAGACAAATTATGGTAATAGCCACAAATTAAGTAGTTTTATATATTCTATAATTATTTGTATTTTATCATAACTCAATTAGCATAGTTTGTGGTAGGTAAAACAAGAAAAAGAAATTGTTTGGCTCCATTGATTGAGTACAATTTAATTGACATGTACTGACAGTATGAAGATAAATAGTATAGATGAAGATGCCGCTGTTAAGTTTCTATTTACAGTCTTTAAATAATTCAGAGTTTAAAGAAACATGGATGGCGGCTAGCAATGTGTGTTTCGTCCTATTTCGAACTCGTTAGCTGGGTGTACTTGCATCCAAGAATTGATGTTCACTCTGGAACTGGAACTCAGTAGAACGAAACGCGCGTCCTGGATTCCATCTTTGCTTATAATGCAATATCTAGGCAATATGCACAGAATGTACATATGTTAATAATAGACTGATCAATTACAATGCTGAACATTAATGGGAAGATTCAAGCAAATATATATCAACTGAATATAATTTGAGGTTTATTATCAAATAGGAATTAAGTGTTTACATTTCACTGTATTATCAGTTTAGTCTACAATAAGGACTATTGGCAAATTCCAGTTTTATTTAAGTAACTTCTATTCCTTAAAATGGCGATATGTTCAAGTTGACTCAGCAATAATCCACATTTCAATAGAACCAGTGATTTTCTACATAGTTTAACAAGAAATTTATACTTATAGTTTATACTAGGATGTAATGGCCGTTCAGTGCTTCCAGGTTTTCCATGGTGGTCTGATTTCAACTGACTCATGAACTCAACTATTACATTAAAATGTATTTATTCAACAATCATAGTTAGCCAATCAGAAGATTATTTCTGAAATTATTTCCTTACTATTTCCAATATTAAATAAATGACACCGTCTAGTCAGTGCTGGGAATTGGAAGCAGACATCAAAATGATAAATAAAAAACTGGAAAGAACTGCAAAGGATTGTGCAGGATAGAGTTGGATGGATAATGTTGATGGCCAGCCAATGTTCTTCTACGAGTGGTAACAGAAGTATGCAAGCAAAGTAACTATCTAGTTCACAGAATTTATTGTTAAAGTTCATATGAGTAAAAAAAAACTATATGCCTGTTAATTTTAATTAATATGTACACTGATTGTTTGGATCTTTCCATTGGTATTTACGACTACAATAGATAGGATACTTTAAACATATGTAAATCCTATGCGGAATGCCTCAATATTTTCATTACGTCACAATCATTATAAGCAGAGATGATGATGACTAGCAGTGAAATCCAAAAATGCTCGAAGTGAATAACCTGATGAAGCTTGAAGTGAATAGTACTGGATTCAAGTCCCGGAGTGAACATCAACTCTAAGATACAGATACATCCAGCTGATGTATTCTAAATAGAATGAACGTCTGTCCTGCATTTCATCTCTACTTAAAAAACCTATGTCTTATGACTTTTAACAGAATCGAGAAATTCTAGGTATCATTACCAAGGTTTGACTTGATCATTTCGAATAAATTGAGCATTCGGTAGATTATTATAAATAAATAATATATTTGTAATATCCGAATGAGTAGAAAAATTAGATTTTCTGACGTTTAGTGACTTAGTGTAAGTCACTTCTTCCGAGAATAAATAACCAAATTCAAACTAATCCAAGTTTAAATAGTACAACGGAACAATACGAATAATATGTGATCAATCAAAAACAGGTCTGAACAAGTTAATGTCATGGTATTTCGGTCAAAGTGATTCATAAGTGATATTTATCGATGTAAATTTGTGTGTATGTATGTGTGTACTATTTAAGGATAAAAAATTGTTGTGTGACATTTATGATGAGAAAGGATAGAGTTTAATTTGTTATTGATGATAGTGTGAAATTGTAAATAAGATCAGACTGAATGACTAGGATAGATAATTCAAGTAGGATGTATGGTAAAGCCTTCTTTTCTATTGAGAGAAGTAGGATTAAGCATTATATGGAACACTTCAACTACTCTCCTTTCTTTGTGATTGGAAAAGCTTTTATGCAATATTTTAATATTTTTGAAATCATTTTGATGGCCGTTAAAAATGGCATGAACTGATATTATCGATTCAGTATCGACAAATGTTTATCCTAATAATGTTTAATATTAACATGTTTTTACATTTACCCCATCACCCTAAATTGTTTAATAATCAATACAAGAGAATGAGTATTAGAAATACAAATCATCGAGTTCATTCCACTTTTTGTTACATAACTTACTTTCTACTTAATATTATTTAAAGTTTCAAAATGACAATATATGTACCCCCCCCCCTCGATACAATTCTTCAAGATTAAATCATTTTCAATAGATAATCAGTTGTACTATCATCTAACTAACTAACTAACTAACTAACTCAGTAACACAATGAAAATGATTACCAATTAGTGATTAGTTTTATTTAAACTAATTAATTCTATTCAATACAAGTCCATTAGACCTTTAACAACAACAACAACAACAACAACAACAAAAAACAACTAGTTACCTATTGTAACTCTATATTTGAATTCTATTTAAAGGGTAAAAGAAGAAATACTAATGGAATTAATCGATAATACCTATTCTCTTCCTTTAAAGGACAGATTATTACTATTACTATTATTATTACTATTACTATTATTATTATGATTATTATGACTATTGTGTATACCTCTTTCATTGAATATTAATAAATTAATTTAAGGCGCCAAATAATTGTATATTTTATTAGTTAGTTAGTTTAAACAAACCGTTATATGATTAATAAATTTTTTGACGACTAAACTTAACCAATTTGGTTTTTCTTTATTTTTCTTCTCTTCTTTTCTTTTTGTTGGTTTTGCTTTAAATAAGATTTTATACTGTTTTTTTTTCTTTTTTAAAAAAAAATGCACAATTTTGTCAGGATTCCATTTTTCTTCTCTTTTTTTTCTTTTTCTTTTTCTTTTAGGATGGAAGAATTATTGCCGTATTATTACAAGATAATCTATTTAAATTTTGTGTCAAAAACTGATTGTATTTAGGTAGGTATAAAAATATTAAAATCATAGAATAACTAGAATAATTGGAAGTATTGGATGACTGTTCTGTAATAGTATGAAACTATTTGCTGGTGTGCATCCATGATCTTGTACACGGGAGTCGAACTCAGCACTTTCGATGACAATAGCGAAAGTTTAACCTCTAGAGCACTGAGTCAGCATCTAACGATGTTAATGCCGCACGTCTTTGTAGGTCTCAGTAGGTCTGGTTTAAATGCTTGTTGATCATATATATTCATAAACAACTCCATCAGTCGTTTTAACGTCAAAGCTAATCCAACACTATATGTTGATTGTGGAATGGCTGGACAGGTAGGTTAGAAAACACAAACATAATGAAATATGAACGTTAATGGTTTCATTCGTTTAATGTGTTTAGCTCTTTTTTAGCAGGGTTGTTTTCCATGGCATGAGGTTGCTGATCCCATGTCCAAACCTTCTCCTTGACAAGGTCTTGAGACAATCAGTAACCTTAGAAGAGCTACATACAGCAGCCACTACAACAGTAAGCCTCTACATGCGCAACGGAAAAACCAAGATCCTCAAATACAACATAGAGAACACCAACCCAATCACACTTGATGGAGAAACTCTAGAAGATGTGGAATTTTTCACATACCTTGTCAGCATTATTGATGAACAAAGAGGATCTGATGCAGACTTAAATGTAAGGATTGATAAAGCATGGACAACATCCCTACATTTGAAGAATGTATGGAACTGAAAACAACTATCAGCCAACATCAAAGTCAGAATCTTCAATACAAATGTCAAGGCAGTTATATTGTAGGGAGCTGAAACTTGGAGAACTACTACAACCATCACCATAAAGGTACTAATTTTTATAAACAATTGTCTACGCAAAATACTCAATGTCCGATGGTTGGAAATTATCAGCATCAAGCTACTATGAGAAGGAACAAACCAGCTTCTAGCTGGGAAAGAGATTAGGAAAAGACGTTATAAGTGGATATACTCTGCGGAAATCACCAAACTGTATCACGAGACAAGCACTAACTTGTAATCCTGAAGAGAAACGGAAGAGAGGAAGGTCAAAAAATACATTGTGTTAGTAAGTGAGTGAGTAAATTGGTAAGTAAGTAAGTAAATGAGTAAGTAAGCAAGTAAGTAAATGAGTAAGTAAGTAAGCAAGTAAGTTAGTAAGTGAGTGAGCAAGTAAGTAAGTAAGTAAGCAAGTGAGTAAGTAAGTGAGTAAACGGGTAAGTAAGTAAGTGATTGAGTAAGTAAGTAAATCAGTAAGTAGGTAAGTAAATGAGTAAGTAAGTAAGTAAATGAGTAAGTAAGTAAGTGAGTGAGTAAGTAAGCAAGTAAGTAAGTAAGTAAGTAAGTCAGTGAGTAAGTAAGTAGGCAAGTAAGTAGGTAAGTAAATGAGTAAGTAAGTA